TAATGAGCGCAGGAACCGCGGAGGCAGCTGCGATCGGCTGGAGGTCTTCGTTCAAACGACAACTGAAGAAAGCAAGTATAATACTATATTTGTGGGTGGTACGGAAATGGTAGATACTCAGGCTAACTTGCAAAACGCAAAACAATAGCGATTTGGCGATGTTCTCGCTCACGAGGGAATCGTTTTGAAGCAGCAACCGTACACTGCGAGATCGTATTTTTATTTTATTTTTTGTGCACATCCGGTTGCCTTCAAGTATGTACAAGAGCTCAGTTGAACGATAGTAACTTCCATAATCTGGTGGATCATGGGGAGTTACTCAGCGAATCTATCATGAGGAGTTTGTAACTCGAAGAACAAAATTTTTTGAAATTTTGATGGAAGTTCAAGTTTGAATTGAAAGCAACATTGCCTAGAGCCACTCCTCACGAACCTTCTGCGAAATAGAGAAAGAAGTGGCCACAGCGGGGTGAAATATAGACTGATCAATACAATGGCCTGACACTTCGATGGGATAACTACTTAGGAGGTCGATTGACCGCAGACAGGGCAGGTAGCCGGTGGAAACAAGGACGGGTCATAGAAAGCTTTATGAGGTGATTCTCATATGAATAGATAACATTTTTCATAGGGATTCAAATGGTTCTACTTTGACAGTGGTTTTCTTTCTTTGGAAAAGGCGCAATTTTTGTTCTGAAATGAAGACTTGAAGTTGGAACCCGGTAGTAGCAACCAATTCAACTACTGGTCAGCTTATGTCCAACCGTTTTTTTGGAAAAACACAAGCCTTCGCGTACGTATCTCTTTCTAATGGATTTACGGTACCGACGCGACGTACAGAGCGCTGAAAATCCTGCTTGAAAACGCTTCAATTCGAGTATTGGCCGTAGTATCGCGCGATGCGCTCACTTCAAGTAGCTAAAACCCTTTCTTTTCACACAATCGTTCTTAAACATTTTGAGACTCGAATGACTTCTGCTAGAGTGAACAGGGTCCCATGCTGTTTATGCATTCTTTATTGTATCTTCTGTAAGTTTCTAAGATGAATCCTAGATATTCTCGAGATTCTTCAGACTGAAAAGGCTGTCTCGTAGGAAAACGACATCTCGCAAAACCTGCCATTTTCAGAAAAATTGACACCGTTACGATCAGCAAGCAGATGTTAGTAAATTCTAACTATCGCGATGGTTCGTTTAATCAACTTCTTAGTATTCCAACGAGATTACCTCTGGTTTACATGATTATACTCGCGAGCCTCGCTCTGATAACGAGTGTCCTCAGGTATTCGACCGGGGACGAGGAGCAGCGCTTAATATTTCAACGCATTTTTAATTTTATTTTTGGATGCGCCCAGCTCATAGAGCGATCACGAGCTTGAGTATGCTAACAGGGTATACGGATTCCATATGGAGAAGGGATACGCAATATATATTGAGTTACCGAATCACTAGGCAGAGATAAAAACGAGGAAAAAAAAACCTGCTGTGGATCACGCAGTGTTATCGCTGTTTCTTTATTTTTCTTCGATTTCGCTACACGTAGCCATGGCTTAAACGCGCAAAGCGACAATCATTTCCCTGTACGGCTCGGGTTATTGTGTAGCAGGGCGATGTTTCGGATCGTCGTTTGAGACATCGGTTCCTTTCAAAAAGAATGCCATGTGTGTTCTTGCGATGCGGTGCACCATGATCGAATTCAGGTAACGAGAGGCCTAGCTGTTACTTTAAAAAGACTTTCTATGAACTCTAGTGTTCAGAAATGCTGTAAAACTGTCGGTGAACAGGAAATGAAGTTCTGCTTGCCACTTTGCCGATACAACACTACCAATGAGGAGGTTTGTTCCTTGTAATCGAACTTTTTCCGTCGACCAATCTGATCCCATAGTGACGCCCACCTGGCTTCCTGCTCCCCTTACAGCTTTTATTTCTAAAGTCTTACAGCCTTATACCACTCGCTGGTGCAAAAACAGGTGAATTATGCTACGCGGCGCAGCTACTAGAAAACTACATATACCGGTGACGAAACTCGGAAAAGCGTATAACCCCTTACCCAGGCCTTCGTACTTTGAGTTAGGACATTGATTCGTCTGGAAATCGGTCTCCAAGGGCATGAAAAAATTTCAAGAGAGAAAATTATCAAAGAAGAATTGAAGCAAAGTTACGCGAAAGTTGTACATGACCGGCTACCAGGGCAAGCCATCGCGTTATGATCATTTCCTGGAAAATCGAGACCCTCCCCTCCCATGCTATGTACCTGCCGCTTTCCTAGATTCTCCCAACTTCCTACCACTTTTTCCATTTTTTCCCGAAAATTTCCAGTTTTTCAGCCAGGAATTTTCCATCGAGCGGGGGGAATAGTAATATGTAGTAGTTGAATAGATCTTTGGCAGTCCCTCTCTCAACAACGGCCAAATACGACCCCCTCTTTTTATACCGTCCGTGAAACAAGAGAAATCAACTACCAAAAAAATTTCTTAGACCAAACAGACCCCTCCCCATTGTGATCATCATAACGATGGCGCGCCCTCCCGGCTACGGCATGCCACTTGTCATTGCACAAAGGCTACCGTACATGTTCCCACAAAAGTAAGTGTAGTATGTGTCCTATGTGACAAGTGTGACCACTACAAGTTTGCCACTGACTGCGTCTCTGTGTTCATTCGATTAGAGCTTAGAGTTCATGGAAACCATTTACATAAAAGGTGCGTTTCCCGGACTACGAGAGATCGTGTGCACACCAAGTAGAAGCTCAGAACGATTCAGTCAGGGTTTCAGTCTGAAGTGAACATCAGTTAAATGAGGAAGGAAATCGCCTCATCTCACCCCTAATCGAGTGGTTGTTACTCAGTGATTCCGGCCAGATCCATTCACTTCATCGTCATTGAACCCGTAGTAGCGGATCCAGTGCGAGTTTCTCGGATGACGCTAACTAGGGGCGTGTCCCGTAGTGTTGACATCATGGCTGCGTTCCCCTACATTAATCACTGTCAATGGGCCACTTAGCGGTT